TGAATTTGGTATTCATCTTATGGCACAATAACATGAGAGGAATAAGCTTTTTTAAACCAATTAAGAATTTCTTTAGCATTAGGAATTTGTCTTCTGGGCCAGCTCCCTTTGTGACAAGTAAAGCCCATTTCAGCAGTGTGAAGAAGCCTGTGCGTAGTTAGGTGCCTTAACACTTTAATGCTGTGGAGGGACTAATTGAACTGAAGACACCAATGATAACCATAAGATGGAAAACCAAGCGGCTTAAGGTATAGAGGCTGTAAGGAGGTGTTTTTTTTAACACCCAGCGGCTGCAACAGACACATGAATGCCAGATTAAGGTTAATGGAATTGTACACTTGTACTATAGTGATGGTTGGTCGGATTCCACAAATAAAATGTCTTATAAAAATGCCCTCCAGGTTGTTTTACTGCTTAATATTTTCTCAGGGAGATACTTGAATAAAATATTGCAAGAGACATTGTGCAATCATGTGAGGAACTGCCAAACCAGGTGGACCAATGACATCTTAACCTCAACATTCTTTATACCTACTACTGCAATACACTCCCTATTTAATATACTTTATATCATTGGCAGTCGGTTTTAAATTTCTGTCCCAGGGGCAGATCCAAGGGGGCTGCTGTAAAAAAGAGAAGACCACAACAATATTATGTTCCACTTTGAGACTTGATGGATGAAATACTCCAAGAACAATTAAGATTAAAGTACATAATCTGTTATTAAAAACTCATGACTATAGTACATAAAAATTAACCACTAAAGATGTCTAATTTAGACAATGTAACATCCACTAAAATTGCACAAATAGGCGCCATGTCACTAATGCTGTAATAACTTCTAAGTAGAGAATCATGGTGTGCTGTTCTTGATCAATAAATCCAACCCAACGGAGATTAATTACTGATATGTGGTTTGAATAGTATAGAATGGCAAACTTTAAGATGGGACATTTTCAATCTATGTTTTCTCACTGGTTAAAATGCCACATTGTTTTTATTGTAAAACCCCTCCTTTCCAACACGCTGAGGTGTCAGTAGTGTGATACATGCTAATGCAGGAAAGCTGTACACTTCAATCAGCTGTGTGGTTTCCTTGCAGAGTTTTAATTATGTTGCTAATTATGTAGCTCTATTTTGTGCTTAAAGGTTTGTTATATACTGTACAATAGATGTCTGAACTGTTTTTCAAACCAGGTGTCTGTGCCTCTAGCCAATGTATGCTTTGGAATTGCCCTTACTTTATGAAGACAATATCTGCAAAACACACAAGGTACTAATGTTGTTCATAACACGTTTGCCTAGAGTGTCATTGATCAGGTTTTGCCATCTAGCTCAGAATACCACTCTCTTCACTGTTACTGCATCAACATGGTCTGTCTGTATCAGAAGGTGCACAAGGGCCTTGCGTGATGACATTGTATAACTAGATCTTAACATGGGAAATCAACCCCCTGCCTAAGCAGGTCTTGGCACGTGGACTCCACAGGATGAAGCAAATGGGATTGGTGTCCCTGTGTAGGCTGCTAATGGGGATTTCACCTCCCAATACAGGAAGGCTTTAATCCGATATCCCCTCTGAAGGAAAGTGAAACAGCACTGATCTGCACAGACCCTGGTCCTTCTGGGAAAGCCAGGACTTGTCTTGGAGGGTTAGTAAACCCTGGAATTCTGGGGAAGAATTAGGGATTGTCATTAAGCATTATTCCTTAAAAGAAGCCTGTCACTGAGAGAATCGAATAGTAAATCCAGAATAAAATTGCAGAATGATTGTTAACTGGTAATCATTATACAGTATACATACTGTACACACACCTGAAGAAGACTCCACAGTCGAAACGTTGTGTTTCCTTTCTTTTCTTTTCAGCGTGGAATAAGCCCACTACCTGTTCTTTTGCAGTTTACGTATGCTGATGCAGCTACCTACTTCTACTTCAGTATACATACACTATACATCTGTTGTAGGGAAGTGATAAAATAACAATTTCACTGTCTTTTTATTCAAAACATAACAGCACATAATAAAGTGTGAAAATGGAATAAGATCATTTGGCCCATCTAGCACTCTTGATTTTATTTTTGTAGCACAGAGATTTGAGGAGATTTGCTTCTTGAAAGCAGCATTGGTATCAATTTTGATAACATGGCCCGGTAATGTATCCACAGTTCTCTTTGTGTAAAAAGAGCCTCTTTTTCTTGATTGAACTTCGTTTCTATTTGATTCGTCATGGGTTTCACTGATGATTCTGTAGAAGTCCGAAGACTGTCAGTATCCAAGAAAATTTTAAATGCTCAAATCCTCATAGTCGTCTCTGTGTGAGACTGAAATGATTGAGTTATTTTATATTATCAGAGTAATACAGTCCGTCAATCTGGGAATATATCTGTTTACTCCTCTATGGGCTGCTTTTGTAGTCAGTCTTACTTGCTTTGTGGCTAATTTGCATTTAAGAGGAAAATAGTGAACAATATTCTAAATGCAGTCTTAGGAGTGCCTAAGTTAATAAAGACCATAAAAGAAATAAGGGCATTCAGCTCATCGTGTTCGTCTGGGGTTTAAGTGGCTGAAACTAAAAATTTGTTGTGTCAATTTGTTCTAATTGTGGATTCACCCCCTTTGAATCTCACTTGCAGAGTTTCTTTGAATACTTTCTTTTCCATTCCAGTTGAAATGTTTTGGAATTTTTCTGGAGCTACTGTATAAATGAGGAAATCCATGTTTTTTCTTGCCTTTTCTTTGGATCACCAAAAGATCATTGGCCTCCTGCATGGTGGGGTACAACAGAAAGGCATTTTGTAAGCCTTCTACAATTTGAGGTTTGATTTTGTCATGCCACGTTGTTTCTGAAGGGATATAAACTTGTAATGGTAAAAATGTTTTGAAACTATGTCCTCTTGTGTTCATCCTCAGAGCATTTTCATACTAGTTCTTTAAACTAGTACAATTTGCAAGGTAATTTTGTTGCTTTTGCTTGTCCACCATGTTACAGTAAATGCATTGTGCATTAGTATGCTTTCTCTCTTCACTGCTGTCTTCCAGCATGATAAAGCCAATTACTATAATTTTTATGGCACACTTTTACTAAGGAGGCTGTTGTCTTTGGCAATGCCATTAGGACCTGCTATTCCTGTAGATGCCATGGAGATTAACCTGTACAAAGCAATCCACTATTAAATGATTTGATCCTACAGAAAGCTAAAGCCAGAGCTGTAGTAATTGGCACTGATCTTTGGGAACAAGGTAAACTCTTTACCTGGGAGCCACAAGCTGCTTTAGAGTCCCAAACTCAACACAGCTCCCCACCCTAGCCTCCAACTCACGGCTACATTGTTTTATTCTAGAATGTTAAAGACTGTCAGGCCTTCCCCTCTCCAAATTTTGGCTGGTCCCATGAGTACTGTTTTCCAATACAGAGATTAGTGTGCCTGCACATTTACTTTATTATGATGGGATGAGGGTAACAGTGTTGCTTTGTACAAGACTGTGACAACAGTTTATCTCACCAGCATTATTATTTTTGAGATGATTGATTTGGATTAGGAGAAGAAGCAGTAGGGGTCATACTTTATTTCATTAGAACGATAAATAAGTAACCAGCCCAAAATATCTCCAGCCAAATATTTTGCTTTTAACTGCAGTGATCGGAAAGGACTGACATTTTCAGTTCTCTATCAGTGCAGCAAAATGTATTAATAATAACATGAAGTATTGAATGAATAGGAAGGCTTACATATTGGTGGAGTGTTTGCCAGCGGGAAGACAGCAGGCACTCTTCCAATTTTGTAAACAACTGGTTTTGGGGCGATTTAACCCGTAAAACTTATTATTGAACTATTTACTTAAAAAGACCTGGGAGAACAACCAACATCCCAATATTGACAACAGCTTAACATGATTTTTATGAAATGGTCAGGACTTGCAATCTTAAAGCTAGGCATGGGAGATTTAACCAGCCCTGGAGTTTATAGTATAAGCCTTCATTCAATAGGATAACCATCTCTGAAAATAAATGGAAATAAAATTAGCTTCTTGCTGTGTTCTTGAATACATCACTGGGTGTGACACTGTTTAAGGTACAGACCCCATAGGTTGTTCCAAAACAGGCTTCACTGTTTCCTCTTTTTGCTCTGGCCTGCACAACAAGCTAGAATTTTATTAACTCAGTCTGGATTGATGACAAAAAGGTAGAGTCCTTATAACAACATTAATCTTACAATTCAAGATAAATATAGCAAGCGGTATGATGAATGCAACAAATGAACATTGGAAACAATAGGATTTGTTGTTGGTTTAATGCCTGCTAGTATACGATTGGCTAAACCTCATTTAAAATAATTTGGAGCTTGTTTGGAAGATTCATAGATTGGTTTTGGAAGCATCACATATCTTTAATGCTTTCTCTAAAATAATAGACAAAATACACTAAGAACATTTTAATCATACACTTGAAAATGATCCAAAAGTACACCTTCACAAAGAAGCATATTTGTCATCATTAACTTATCTAACATTTCTATTTGAATACATGTGGAAACGTGGCTGATTGACGAACAAAACTACGACTGTAGTTCGGGTGGGTAGCTGCGTCAGCGTGCGTAGGCTGCAAAGGAACAAGTAATAGGTTTATTCCATGCTGAAAAAAAGAAGAAAGAGAACACAACGTTTCGGCCGTGGAGCCTTCTTCCACGGCCGAAACGTTGTGCTCTCTTTCTTCTTTTTTTCAGCATGGAATAAACCTATTACTTGTTCCTTTGCAAAACTACGACTGATCGGTTCATGTCGCTCAGAACACCACCAGAAGGGAATGTCATTCGTCTTACACCACTTCTTCAGGTCGAGAAGTCCAATACGGATTCCTCACACGCTGTGATCGTCACCTCAACAAACCGTCCCAGCCGCACCCATTGGCTAAGGGCGGAACAAGGCGACGCAGGGGATTGGCTGTGACGCACTTTCACGTGAAGACATTGAACAGCACAGAGGCTGCGAATCCCGAAGTTCAGATTAAATACCTGCAGAGCAAGAGCAGAAAGCTCAGTTCAACTCCTGGATCTGCTGCTGGTTGGGTGGTGGGGGGGGTAGTGAAGTAGGGTTTACTGTGGGGAATATTACTGGGGGGTACTTTTGGATTTCTTTATCGTCGCCGTGACCTCATACTGTTTCAGAAAAGTAACCTTTCGTAAGGAATAAATCAAAGGGGGACTTTTTTTTCCTCTGAGTAATTTATGCAGATAACATCCTTCGGAATACCAGAGTGTAAGTAACACTTTTTCCTTACTTTGATTTAATCTCATTCTGTTAATATGCAGTAGCAGTTAGTTACTATTCAGGAATTTACTTGCTACAATGGTGTGTACTTCCGATAGCTAAATTGAAGCATAAATTCTTGTAAAGTTAGGAGTAAATTGTTCTTCTTAGAGTTTACAATTGAATAATTATGATTTTTTTTGGGGGGGGGTTAGCCGGAATATTAGTTATGTTTTTTTGTAATGTCTGTGCATTATTTTACCGCACACGGAATAAAACAGTACATTTATATTCATGCCTGCCTTTAATCTGGAGAAGCCTTAGTATACATTTGTTATGTAGCCTGGCAAACTTTTACTATGAAAATGCCGTAACCTTACTTTTTTTTTTCTTGCAGGGGTGCCGTTTGACTCCAGCATGCTCTAGTTTATCCAGTCCAAGGGCGATTGTCTCCTTGTTTTCCATTCCGCTCACCATCACTTGCACAGTTATGAACTGCACGAAGTAAGGAGTTCTTTTTAATATGAATATAGTAAACTGTGGCGTGTGCTCTGGTTTCCTGTCCTTTCTCGTAAAACCTTAAATGTAACTTTTTAATGAGAGATAGTTGAGGATTAAAAACGAACTTTCTGTCAAACTTAACTTTAGTTGAAAACTGGCGTCTATATTCCACGCTATCGCCTTCGCCATACGTCCTCTTTGCTTTCGCTTGATTCTGGGTTGAATGTAGGAACATTGTCGCCCCCCCTACTAGTTTACATACCAAAAAACATTCATTTAATTGTTCGCTTTTCAGGGCCGGACAAGAACCTGAATTTGTACTTTAAAAGTATCGAAGCTAATTCTACGGGGAGATTGTTTCTGTAAAATAAATTATTAATTCAGTTCCTGTCTTTTCGAAAAGAGGTGACTTTTCCACATCTCTTGCTGTTTGTATTGTTTGACTGTGTGAATTGCTTTTCCTTGATCTATAAATTGCCTGGGAGACAGGGGTGGGCTGTGGCTGGGCTTCTTAATTGCAAGGTTCCAAAATCCTGCTGGACTCCCTGTCTGGTCTTCCTTGCCACCCTGTGTATAAATGGCTTTTGTGTTTTATCTGTGAAACCGTGTTAATGCAGAGCAGTGAGATCTGTGAATAATTTATCACTGCATTAGTACTTCTCTTCATTTCAGTGATTAGACACGCCCTCCTCTATCTTTCTTTAATATAGTTCTGTACATAATAAACTCCACAGTCTTTAGTCAATGAATGACAAGCTGGTATCGAGTAATGACTTTCCATTTCTGTAAGAAAAATAATTTGGGGGAGTTTTCACTTTTTTTCAGATCCATAATCTCTGCTCCACCCCCCTTGTGTATACTTTTATGACTTTTCACTGAATGAAGGTAAAGGTGGGCACTATCCCCACTAAAGGATAGAGGGGAGTATTTGCAGTCGGGAATGTTCAGTTTTGTGTCTGAATGCATATTTAAAAAAAGCAGCTTTGGCATTAGATTGCCAGAGGGTTTGCCAAAAGCAGCAGATAGTGTGGAGTGAAAAGCCAACTGCAACAAAGTGGTTAATAGTCCAAATGCTGTTGAAGATTTTTTGCAATTCTGTGAATATTTGTCAAACACGTATAGTGTTGAGGTGTTGTCTGAGATCTGTCTCTCTCTTTCTAGAGTCCTACATGTCTTTGGTGGCCATTCCGTTCCCCAACCAGTGATGCCTGTGGATCTGGCCATGCGTCTGTGTCTAAGTCAGTCCCAACCACTGTGCCACCTGCTTGGGGTGACCTCTCTTAAACCCCTGCGGCCCTGCCTCAACCCCCGCACCTCTCAGCAACTGGACCAGCATTTGTGTCGGCCCGCTAGCCCGTCCCCCTCCGAGCGACCCGCCACGCAGAGCAGTGGCATCAGTGGTGACGGCACCACCACCAAAAAGAAGCGCGTGGTGTTTGCCGACTCCAAGGGTCTGTCGCTGACTGCCGTCCGTTTCTTCTCCGAGAAAGATGAGGACGTGGCCTTCTCCGAGCTGCCTCTGGTGCAGCTGCGAGGGCTGGGGAAGCCCGTGAGTGTAGCTAAAGGGGAAGGAGCTAGTGGCAAGAGGTGGCGGCTGAAGCTTGCCTTCTCCCAGCCCTCTGCAGACTACCTGGATTTCAAGGCCCAGCTGCAGCAGAACCTGGTGCGCTTGGAGAACTGCTCGGTCAATGAGCGACTGCTCAGTGGCACGGTCAAGGTACGTAACATCAGCTTTGAGAAGGCTGTAAACATTCGCATCACCTTTGACTCCTGGCGCAGCTTCTGTGATGTCCCCTGCTCCTACCTGCAGCAGCATTATGGTGGCACCGACACGGACACCTTTGCTTTTGAGATCCTGCTTCCTGATGACCTAGATCCCCGTGAACGTCTGGAGTTCTGTGTCTCCTATACTCCTGGGGGGTCCAGGACCACCCTCTGGGACAACAACCATGGCCGCAACTTCAGGATCCTCATCTTCACCAATCCTGAGCCAGTCTCCCTCCCCAGACAGCACAGGCGTTCCTTCACCCCTCCTCCCCAGCGCCGTAGCCTGTGGCTCAATCCTGAGGGCAAGCTGTCCAAGCTTGAGCCCCTGGGCAGCCCCCGTGCAGCCACTACTGATTTCTTATTCTCGCAGTTTCAGGGCTGGGGGAGATTAGAGAGCACATCCTGCTACTGGTGAGCAAGTGGTGAAACTGTTTCCCCCATCTTATCCAAATGGCTTAAAAAAAAAATAAAGGACTATAGACTCAGTTACTCATGGCAGACTGACTTGAGTCCTTCCTTATGAAAGGGAGGAGTGAAGGGACTCCTTGCCTTCTTGATTTGCCATTGTTTCAGTACGTTCTTACCTCTGAATACAAGCAGATTTACCTTACAACTTGACTCTTTGTGTACTACATGGATGGACTGTGACGAGAGCCACCTTCTTATCCAGGTTTAAATGGAGTGTGGAGGAATGGCTTGGAAGTTGGAATTCTGTGTCCCGTCCTGATGCGAGCTCTTTTGAAAACTGAAGAAACATGATTACTATGCATCCTTGCTTTACTGAAAACTCTTCTGATTCAAACTGGAGGACAAACATGCTCTTTGCTTCCTATGAAATTAGTCGACTGGAATTTTGCAGTGGTATTCAGTACATTTATGCATTACGTTAAAAAAAAAAAAGCTTTATTGTCCAGTGCTTCAAGGATCCATCGGTTGTCTTCCTGACTGTTTTTTGTAGAAATGGAAAACCTGTACTACATAGTTCTAATTGTATATTAATATATACTAGTTTGATTGTGAAGTGGGTGCTCCAGTGTCAGGGTTCAGGAGTCCTAGGTAAACCTCTTCAAGTTAAGTGCACATCCTAAAATGTATCTCTCTTTCTAAAAACAGCTACCTAACTTATACCTACCTCTGCAACACAATGAGCCCCCCCCCCCTTTCCAAGAGGCTGTTTTGTGATGAACATGGGTGTGACTGGTGAAGAGTCCTTATGTAACATTTTAACTTGAATGACGTTCTCTTTTTACATACTGTATAAGTCCCTGACCGTTATCAGCCAAAGTCTATTGCAGTGTTCATGACTCACTTTGCACTAATTATGGGTTAAAAAAAGTTATATAATGTGGAAAAGGTGTAGCTCAAAAGCTTATTTTTGACAGTTTCCAATGGCAGGAGATCAGAAAATTTGTCCCCACTTAATTCAAAATACTGTGGTGTTTGTCCGCTGCATCCATAAGGCACTCATTTCAGATGGACACAGCCTTTAATTTTAGCACTAACTGCTTCCATCATTACTTAATGTTAAGAGTGCAACCTGTTCACTGCCTGTGATCACCTGATAAAATGATTAGAATTGTCTATTAGGTTTGTCACACTGTTTTCACATGCTGTTGTGTTTTTTTTTTTGTTTTTTTTTTAAGGTGTTGTGGACACATCTGGTGTCACAAGACTTAGTTTGATGCTCTTTCTTTCCCCCTCATAGGGGATGTAGTGAAAGGTTTATACCTGCTATGCAGACTGTGTGTGTGATTGAATGATGGCATATCAGGAGTTGGATGATGATGATAATTTGCTGCCTTTTGTAAATAAAGTGGTTTAAAAATGCATTGGTCTTTGAAGTTATTTCAAGCACCCCATTCTTAAATGGTAGACAACATTGGGTAACGCTTTGATTTTAAATTTGTTTTTGATCCTGGATTTTCATTCACTTTAAATCCATTAGGAAAATTGAAATGATCCACAAACATTTACACTGGTGTAATCTGGATGTATGAAATTATTTTTTATAATTATCCTTAATTATAAATACAGGGGCTCCACCCTACAGTCAAACTGTAACCACAACCCTGCCTGAAGTGGCAGGATGAGATATTGGGATCAGCTCACTGGGACTGCAAATTCAAAATATTGTCTATTGATTGTAACTGGTATTTTTTTTAATTATTTGCAAGTACTGTAGATTTGTTTTATTATTTTTTTTTAGCTTGGAGTTTTGGTAATATCCTCTATCCACAGCACGTTTTCACTTAGGTCCTACATCATGTAAAGGTGGTTGGTGTCTCTTTGGCAAAAATTGTCTTCCTTTCAGTGCACATTTGGGTGGTTTTAGGCTCTGTACTGCATCAAAGCAATGTGCAGTTCACTGGTGTCACAAGTCTCAAACAAATGGTTCAGAATGAGCACTAATTGGCAAATTTTATAACTTTAATGGAGTTAAAGGTACAAGAGGAGTGTGTGTGTGTGTGTGTGTACGTACACTTTGTACCTTCTTGTTTGTAAACCACCCAGTTTAGTTTTCTTCATATTAGTCATCTGACAGGTTTTGGGTTTAATAGTGTAGTTACTTTTCCTCCTCAAGGCAGATTACATAAAATACTGCAGCCGATCGAGTTTCACTTTAACAGTATCCATATACGAAAACAATATTGGTTTTTATCTTAATGAGCCAAGATTTTGGTATCCCCTGAGACGTTATGAGGAACGCAGAAAGTAACTGGTCTTACAGCTTTAAATCTCCATATAAACTCTCTTGCCCTTTGCATGGTTTCTCTGTGATTAAATACACGATGACTCCAGAACTTTGCAAGTCGCACACATTGTCCTGGTTTTTGGTTTGTGTGTTTTGGGATTAGGTTGCCTGCATGAAATTTCAGTAATAGTTAACAGCTTCTAGGACTGCTCTCTCTTTTCTTAAGCCAAGCAATGCTGCAGTGATAGAGGTCAGACACTGATTAGTTGCTTACGTCATGGAATACCTGGTGTATTAGTGCATCTGAAATCCCAAGGCAGTGAGAGGGTGAGAGAAGATCAGGGGGTGGCTACTTTTAGGGTGTTGGTCATGTTTGGTGATACCCATTTGTGCCCAAAGTCTCCTTCATTTGGAATGATTTTGGGCATATTGCAACACTCGATTTCAACACCTCCAAAAATGTACCACTGTAGGAGTATCGAGAGTAGGAGGGGCTTCAGTTTAAATTGCATGAGACTAAACTGTGTTTTGGGGGCATGATTCACCAAAGGAGAATCTTTACAAGCTTTTACAATCTGTGGCTACCCACAGAAAACCACACAGTTCAAGCAAGGTTATGTACAGTTCAAAATAACTTATCAACATAATTCTAATGCAAAATCACTTAAAGGTTAATCTTCAACATTGTTATTTTTGACTATGGTAAATACTGTATATAAATGTACTGTATGAAACAAAGCCAAGACAAATCATTCAACAAATTGTGTATAATTTTTGGAAATAAAATGACATTTGATGTGCCCGGTTTCCAGTCTAGAATTTAAATTAGAACAGGGTGTATTTATATTGCCCCATTCAAAAGCTTAAAGTAGCTCTGGGCTCTGGAAGAGGACAGGACTATGGCTTATTCCCTGTAATCACTAAATTCAGAATGTTTTTACAACAGTAATTATCTCCAATATCAGCCGTACAATTCATTGTACAGCTGGCTGTTTAACTACAGAGCATTTTGCTGCATGATGTATCATCTACTTATGTTATCTATATATAATAGTATGTACACAACAAAACAGGGTCTCTGTACTTTTTTAAGACTTTTTTGCTCCAGTTATAATACTGGCCTAGGAAGTGCCAACTTGTAAAGGATAACACTTAGTGAAGATTTTCAGATAATTTAGTTATAATGAAAATGTGCAAGTATAATCTGTTCATATCAAAGGTCCTGATCTTTTGGCTAGAAAAGTGATTCTTTGGCATGGCAGTAAGTGCTGCTGCCTTATAGCTCCGGTACGTTTGTATGCTGTATGCTTGGCCCAGTTCAGGACTGAAGTATCTTCTCTGCATGTCCTCCTAATGCCTACTCAAGCTTTCTCTGGGTGTTTCCTCCCCAAAACAGGTAGATTAGGTTTGGCTTGACTGTGTGCCTCAAGTATATCCATTTTCCCATTAGCTGATCGAACATGGTGTGAACTACTCTCTTCTGTTTACATGTGGCACGTGCAATTGAAATCAAATGGCTAAAGAATGTTCTCAATTTTCATTTTACCCAAGCTCCTAGTTAAATCAGCTAATTAGGTATTCATCCAAGTAAGGCACTTTTAAAACAAAAAAGTGATCGGTATATCAATACAGTTCCATGTATTGCTGCTGCCTTATAGCTCCGGTACGTTTGTATGCTGTATGCTTGGCCCAGTTCAGGACTGAAGTATCTTCTCTGCATGTCCTCCTAATGCCTACTCAAGCTTTCTCTGGGTGTTTCCTCCCCAAAACAGGTAGATTAGGTTTGGCTTGACTGTGTGCCTCAAGTATATCCATTTTCCCATTAGCTGATCGAACATGGTGTGAACTACTCTCTTCTGTTTACATGTGGCACGTGCAATTGAAATCAAATGGCTAAAGAATGTTCTCAATTTTCATTTTACCCAAGCTCCTAGTTAAATCAGCTAATTAGGTATTCATCCAAGTAAGGCACTTTTAAAACAAAAAAGTGATCGGTATATCAATACAGTTCCATTTTGTCATGGCTACACACAGTCCATTTTTTCTACTAAGTAGGTTTTTAATTTTAAATCTAGAGTGGTTTCCACTTGAAGACTCTAAAATATGGTGCTTGATCCAAGAGTAGGTTGATGATGCAGACATTGCTAATAGCCAACTGTTACCTGGGTTTCTTGAGTGGCAGTGTTCGGTGGACAGAGCATCACTGGGAGTGATTTTAAGATTATTTTTCCGGGGCTCTCTCAGGGCAAAATAAAATTCCTGCCTCATCACAAGTGCTGCTCCTCTATTGTGCTCTCTTGTAAAGGACCATGGAGAATGAGGACAAGTATGCTGAGCAGAACACGTTTGCCATTATCCCACTATAGTACAGGAGTTGGTACTGTGAGCTGAGAAATAAAGGAACATTTGGCAAATCCTAATTTTAAAGGAGTATAAAAGTGAAAAAAAAATGTTCACATAAAATATAGCTTTCATATCTTAAAATTGTTGATTGTCTTGTTAGTTTGGTTCAGGGTAAAATATAGATTTTTTTGTATTTCACTACATTTTAAATGCCAGTGTTTAAATCAACATCCTGAACTGTCTGTGAACCCTCAGGACCTGGAGTGGACTTTAACTCTTAGGGAACAAATGTGAAGATCTCTGATATCAGTATTCACTGGAGGTCTGTAGATAGCAGACATGCCTTGGTTTGGAGAAGAGAGGGATTGGGAGTGACTTTAGGGGTGTTTTGTGTATGCAGGAGTGAAAGAAGGCACATTTTCTCTCAATTAAAAAGGTGTGATCCATGCCCTCAACCTCAATGAACTCTGCAGCACACAGACAGAGCAAAGAGGGTCTAATCTGTATTAGTATAAAGGTGTTTCTGTCAATCTGATTACAGCGCAACCAGATTAACCTCTGTGTCTCCTGCTCTCTGGGTGGATGGGGACACTGACGCTGCCTCTATTCATCCTCTTGACAGGCAGCCACTCAATCAATTAGCATATGCGACAATCTCTCAGACCCTCCTCAGTGGTATATATAGCAAGGGATTTGTAATCTAATATTAATTACTTATACAAAGAGACAGGGATTTTGTTGAGTTTATTTAAATAGTGAGCCTTTGCTTACTAATACAAGATAACCTCCAGTCTTTAAGTAGCAGGCTAATAAAGAGGGACATTTCAGGTTCAAATCCTAAATTGAGCACTGTAGTTATACCCTCAAGCAAGTTTTTAAATTAGCAAAAAGCACAGCTGTTTTTATGGGTACTGGTGTAATTTGCTTTTGGTAAAAGTACTGACCCAATAAATTGATAATGACAACAATTTTAAGTTCTGAAATAAAAAATGAAGAACAGGATTTGTATCTGTGTAATATTTGGAGTAAGGCTTTCTTTACAGTAAAAATAATGCCTAATTCTGAAAATGTATACCAATTTTCATATACTATCATATTTAAATAGATGCAATAATACTGTAGCTTTCCAATTCATCCTGTCTAATTTCAGCAAGTCCATTAGTACCATCTAGTGACAGCACAAAGGATTGTTTTTTACAATACAGCACTGAAATACAGGAAGATTAATTGTCAGGACTTTGATACTAAACAGACACATAAATATAATTTTTGAAGTATATCACACTTTCTGTGTTATGTATTGTGAAGTTGTATAGTGGTCATGAATGTTTGTGATCACACTATCCAAATCTGTGAAAGAAAAATGTTTGATCATGATTTCAAAGGAAATTTGATCAACTTTTCAGGGAAAGGGGAATTTTTGTTGATGCCTATCACAATGAAGAGATAACTGTCTTGACATCTCTGATTAATATTTTGTTTGTTTAATCCAAATGTTCAGTCATGCTGTAACTACTTTATATCTTTTTATACCATACCAGTCCTGTATGGTAGAATTTACTAGCAGTGTGAAAAGTTACAAGGAAAAGGAATACAATGAATGGCAGACTTTTTGTGGCCTTTCTATTTGAAACAAGGGTTGTTTTGGAGTATAGAGTTGTAAGAAAAAATGGATAGTTGACATTTGATGTTATACTATCTGTTTGAGTTTTGGTGACAGTACTGCAGTATCATTTAGTTGAATTAAAAAAAAGCAGATTTCTTAAGTTTGAATGTTTTTACAGTTAATCGAATAGTTTATGAATAGTTAGTTAAAACTTAATGAAGAAACAAACCTTAACTTTGAAAACGTCTTACTGTACTTTGACAGGTACTACAACAGAGAACAACTGCATATTTCAAGCATTGCATTGCTATACATACTGAAGCACAGTGAAAATGCAATATGTACATGTTACATCTACATAACACTGGGAACGTACATAAAGTTTGTTTAAATAGTAAGAAAACTGAGAGCATTGTTCTTTGGAATAACTAAAACATTGAGCTCAAATCAAGTGAGTTCGTAAAAACAACTAGTGTTTGGTGACTGACAAGAATTAAATTTGGGGAAATGCATTGATTTCAATGTGTACATACAGTATATACAGACATTATTTTCATCAATGCAAGAATTAACAATATATTTAATCAATTTCCCTTCGGGATCAATAAAGACTTATCTATCTAACCATGTCCTACTTTAGTAAAAAAGATTTCCTGGTTGCAGTCAACATGATTGGAGGCTATCCTGTTTCTGAGAAAAGATACCCAAAGAATGAGATGTTCTACTTCAACAGTCAGCGTGTTACTCCCGAGACGACCAGGAAACCAACTCTATGAGGATCAGGTCACAATGTGGAAATCACCACTCCAGCCCAAAACCATCATGTCCACATCCATCACGTGTAATTGAGTTCAGACTGCAGTGGCCACAGAAAGACAAATTCCAGAGTGAAATAACCCATGCATCATCTAAATGGCTGCATAAATCATGTTTTTAGGTGAGGCAAAGGCAGCCTATTGGCAGCTGGGAGATAATATTGCACTTCTTCTATAGGTTGGAGGATATCTGAGGTGGTGATGGAAAGTTTGATGGAGTGTTTTATTCACTACTGTATGTTTTCATTTCCTTTTGAAAGACCGGTTGTGAGGAGACTTCATGGGGAAAGTGATCTGACAATTGCTGCATTGGCCAAGCCAACCAGTAAGGTAGTGGAAGTGTTACAATTTGAGAAAGAATCTCCTTTAATGAAAGATTCCTTTTGGTGCACTATGAGTTAAAACAAATAAAGTTCAGTAATATCTTGATGAATCATTGAGCCAACACTTTTTCTTCTGCAGGAAACCGGAGCAGAAGTGTCAGTTTTGAAACACAGGAGACCACAAAGTGCAAAAATTGAGTTGTATGACCTAAAGAAAAACAATTCCTTCTGCTTTTGACCTTAGTGACACTGTGCCACTGACTCATCAGTGCCTTGAACAAGAGAAAATAAGTGGTGAATCATTTCCAGCTATGTGTATCTGCACAGGAAAAGTGGCAGAACATCCCTTAGCAGTCTGTCCAGAGCATTATGGTAATGTTTAGGGAGATCATATCCAATACTAACTACTGTAACTTTGTTTTTAAAATGGCAGTTTTTCTGTTTCATATTGATCTGTATATTGTTTCACATCTGTTCTAAAATGATTAAGTTATATCCCTTAGACCTCAATTTCTTTTTGTGCATCATTCCTTGCTGGGCCTGGTCAGTATTGACATGGGAGGCCTCCAAAGAAAAGCAGCTGCTGCTGCCACTGCTGTTGGTGGACCAGTGGGTGGCGCTCTTCTTTCTGGACCAATTAATGAAGTAATGACTTGCTTCTTTACTTTTTCTGCTGCGGAGTGGGGCTGCTAGCACATAACGCTTGGCTTAAATGAGTTCTTTACTATAGTTAAGCATTTTGAGATCTTTTGAGATAAATGCAAGGAATTACCATTATTTCTGAAAATTACTTCTCTTCCATATCTATAGATATATATATATATTTATAGAGCAAACAATATGCTATAAAAATAAATAAAAACAACACCAAGAACTGGAGAAACTGGACCTTTACTGAAATGGATCAAGAAGAATATGCCCTGCAAGACAGCATTGAAAAATCCAGAAATTTGTGTGAGCAAGTTGGATGCAGAGATCCAAAGATAGACGTTTGTAAAAGAACGTAGTTCAGAGACGATTAAAGAGAAAGATGAGAGCTTTGGTTGATCCCTGCAGGCCATGTATTATATGAGAAATTCTTAAAAAGTAACAAGAAAGAAAACTCACAAGAAGCTGACAATTGAAGCCCATTCCAGCCATTATTCCTTGCCTGCTTCAGCGGCCCACGCTAATATTGCACACCTTGCAGCTGGGGTCTTTCTTGGCATTGGCAGTGGACAGACTCATTAGCTGGTGCCCACTTATCTCTTCCAAGATGCCCTGTTCCAGGGGTACGGGTTCGGTATACAGGACTTCCAGGATGACATCATGGGCATGCCAAAAGGTGGGCTCCCCCCCTTCCTGCTGTGGGGATTGAAAGGTCAGGAATGGGTTACTGGCAGTGTCCAGCTCGGGCAGGCGACCTCTGCAAAAGCTGTCACCCTCAGAACCACTAGGGGCCATCACAAGCACTACATAGTGGTAGGGGGTGTACATACAGTAGAAGTCAGCAAAGTAGAGGCGGGTGCTGGGGTGGAGAAGCTGTCCTGCTGGGACCTGGAAGCGCAGAGGGCCATAGGGCGAGTCGCTGGGGGGCAGCCCGGTGTCGAACTCTGTGTTACAGCTGAAAAACACCCCCCTCAGTGTGCCGTTGATGGGAGAGCCATGACTGCCACTACTGTCCTTCAGAGTGGGCAGCATAGCGCCACCACACTGTAGCCTGTTGGAACAAACACATGGAGCATTGTTTTCTTCTCAGAGCTCCGAGGCTACAACTTTCTCCAATATCTCAACAAGATAATGCATGATAGCTCTGAAAAAACTAATTGTACCTCAAAATGAAGAATCATGAAGAGCATGATCATGAAGAAATAGAGAAAGTGATAAAAAACATAAAAATAGTAATAGTAATGGTAGCAATATTGGCAACTGAATTGTTGTTGATTTTTTTAAGAAGCACAGTGTATTGACAGACAGACTTAAGGACAATCTGTACCTGACGTAGTGGAAGTAGTCGGTGTGCTGGTTCCTGTAGAACATGGAGAACCTCAGCATGCGTCCAGACACACACTTTGCTTTCTCCAGGAGCTGTTGCAGGTGATCTATAGCGTAATCTAGAGATACACAGAAAACGCTAGAATGCAGGCAATGTTCTGCTTTGTTTATACTTACTATTGCCAGTTAGTTTTCTTTTCATGCTCCACAGATTTGGTGTTGTCGGCACAGGAGAGACAACACCAGCTTTTGCACATCTTCTAAGTGATCATAATCTCTCTGGCCACCTGCTTTTTTTACACCAAAGCTCATAGTACAAGCAACGGGTCTAAGGGTTGGGTTTGATACAAGCAAAAAGGTGACCTGGACAGCCACAGGGGCCAAGATTGTATGGAAAGCCAGGATTACTTCAATCCCACCCAACCAGACACAACTTGCCCACTCAAGTTGCTCAAGCTGATTCCAATGTGTCTTTTAAAATGCCTGAGTTGAATCTTCAGACAAAATAGCTCTTGCTTACCAAGTGAGCAAGACAGGTTAGTTTTGTTTATATGTTCTTATTTGTCCAGCACATTTTGCCTAATGGTGTGCTGTCCCATTGGAAATCCTGGCTAGAAGGTCAGGAGCAGGGCTGAGGTTCAGTATTAATATTATTAAGAGATACTAATGGGGAAGGTGGGTGAATGGAGGAAGTACTGGCTGACTCACCACCAGTGCAGAATTCCACCACCTCACTCCACTCTGACACCATATAGTCCCCGCTGTCGGACTGGCGGACCGCTGTCTGCACCGCCACACAGTACTCTGTCCGCGGGCTCAGGAACCAGTGACCACGCACTGTCAGGGGGAGGGACACTGCTTTTGCCACCAGCTTCGTCGGGACATCCTGAACATGATTACATCACAGAGGTATGATAGGAAACAGTCAAGAAGCAGTAAAACAGGTAAGTTACAACTATTTCCATTTTATGTATTAAACTGTAATTTTAAGGAGCAGTGCTTTTAGTATGCTCTGGGCCAATTCAAAATTTGACATTTTAAATGGATGCTAATATTTTAATGTAGTTAAGAATATTCAAGATGCAGAATTTGTATATTAATATGAAGTGTATACAATGAAAGTAATGCAGAATAGAATATAGAATATACAGAAAGTAATGCAGCATGAACTATTCTGCATTACCATATTCCCAATTTGCGTATCTATTGATTTACTGAGCAAACACTGTTTTGGTCATTAAACCAGTTCTGCTTTTACATTATTAGGTTGCAAGAGGCAAAGCTGTTTTTACTTTAACAGACTCCAATGAATAGCCTCTCTGTTATCCCCTAGGACAGCCACACACAAATGGCAATAATTTCTAACAAGAAAATAACCTAGTATATCAGTCTGTGCTATTACCTGCCATGTTTTACAAGTGATTTATGCCCACTTTAGTATAATGTTGCAGAATTAAAAAAAACCTCTGGATTTTTTCTGCTTTTTTAAAGTCCTAATGGGATTTTTTCATTGAAGGTTACGCAGAATCATTACGCAAAATAATGATGCAAAATGATAAGGTGTGGGCTTGTGTGACCTGCATTTGAAATACCATTGCTTTGACTAGAATGTTTTTTTTTAAATGACAGATTTGCTGAAATTTAAAATATGTTGACTAGCCTCATGAGCATGTGATTATTGAGCATGTACTGTAGTTACTACTGGAGGACAATTTAACTCAGTAATTTTGTTTTTTATCTGAATTTAGTAACCAGGAATAACTCCTTGTCTCTGGATTACCTTGTCACTAAGTTAATAGCAACATTATTTCTACTTATAATTAACCCTTTTCTTATTCTAATGTATAATAAAATGTGAGTGATGTAAGAACGTGATAAGAAGGCAAGAACCCAAGAGTTCTCTCAAAATAAATTAGCCTCTTGTTGTGGAACAGCAGCTCAGTAATTGGGTTAATTGTAAAACTGTCTGAGGGCCATGTATCCATAGCAACCTCAGAGGTAGTTCCATCACATTTAATCTCTTCTCTTTGGACTACATGAGCTTTAAAGAAAAATGGTTTCATGGTTATGATATATCAGGGAATGTTTATTAAAGTTATGAGTGAAACAGGAGGGGCACAAATGACAATTGCAGAGTAGAATATTCTGCCCTGATGGCTGAGAATGCAGAAATATAGAGAGGCTTCACTCTATGTTGCTCAATATGTATGTAGTATATGTGCTTTACTTATTTTTCAGCTTGTCCATTTCTCTCATGCTTTCCTGCCTTTCTGCTAAGTGAAAAATATAGGGCAGGGAACTAGGGTCCATCAAATTATTTATTGAGCTTTCATCTGTTAAGTACTTTGATATGATGGATTCTGTCAGTGAGGAGTTTAAAAAAGCACTCCCCTCAAAGAAATTGTAAATAGCACTGAGAGAAATACCAACTCATTTCCTGTTAACTAACAGTCTCTCTCTGTCCTTTCTTTCCTCCTGAACTCCTCTCTTTTTTTCTCAATCTCTCTTCTTTCTTTAACCTTTTCTCTGATTCTGCCTTCCTCTTTGTCTGCATTTTGCTTTTAATTTCTGTCCTCTTCTTTCGTACTTACTTTCTTTGCCTCCCTCCTGCTTTCTCATGCTTACTTATCACCATTTTTTTCTCTTTTGCTGCCCTGAAAGGGTTCTGTTTTTCATTCAACATCTTTATGGAAAAGCAACAAAAAGGCCAACTGCTAATTGCTAACTAATCACATGTACCACTGTACACTACACTACCACTGTACTACCACAGTTTGAGCATGTAACTATAGCGGAAACTGCATCAGCACTCAATATAACCCTAGTCTAGCTTTGTTATCATTCTTCCTTTAAAACACCCCCCCCAAAAAAATGCCTATGTTCCTGGATTGAAAAAATAAAATAAAAAGAAATAGCAGTTTTGACCTGCTTTGACTGTTGTTTTATTAAGAAAAAGAAGAATGAATCTAGATCCTTATATCTGTAAGTTATGGCCCTGTCAAATGCACAGACTCAGACTGACTGCTTATTCACTATTACATCAGCAGATTAAAGCTACAAGGTTTAGAGCCACACAACCAAGTCATATAAAGCAAACAAAAGGGGGCATTTCAACTTGGGTGATCTTCTATTTTTCCAAAATGTAACCATGTGAAATTATTGCCACAAAAGACTTCTATCTCCTTCCATTTGGACAGTAGTCTCATCAGGTTTCTGGCTCTTACACAAGCTGCACAAATGAAACAGAAAGGTTATTACCACTAAAAATAAAGACTTTAAAGTAATAGCTATGAAAAGTAGTCAAAATAACACAACAAAAGAGCAATTCCCAACTCCTGGTGTTCACTCAAATACAATAGTCGAGAGCATACACAATGGCTGGAAGTGCTGCTCAGTGGAAGCACAGTAGCTTTATATTACAATACTGAAGCAACTGCTGTATTTTCAGAAAACAGTAGTCAAACATAATTACACCCTTAACAAAAATAAAAATAGTGTTATTGTTCCCTTAATATGTCCTTAATTTTGCAAAAACTGTTTTAATCCCAACAGATTTATATTTTGTAGAATAAAAAGAACAGATCTGTCTGTATTTTGTTTCCTAAAACCTTTTACTTTCTGAATGTGAAGAGAAGAATACATTATGTTAAAGATGGAGAATACCTGACAATGAGTCAATTAGATTTGATTAGCAAATGTGATCAATCAACACTTGCCTACCTTGCCTACTCATGTGCTGTGGGCTATATTGGCTGTCCAAACTATTCTGTGTGGCATCACCTGCATTTATTTTCTCACGGCCTGGTTTTCCTTAGTTATCACTGGAGTGTCACATGACAGTTAACCATTTTAAGTGGCCTATCTTCAGAGAGAGTGAAAGGGACAAATATATTTACCCGATGTTTGAAGCGATTGGGATCCTTGGCCTCTTTACGGCTGAGGTCAATGAAGTAGTGTGTCACTTTCCCAGCATCCTTGGGGTGCATCTCCCAGGCAATCTTGAAGGAGTCACATGTCACCTCGGTGATCTGGATATTATGGGGTGTGGAGAGCAGCTCCATTCTGATCACTGGATAACGAAACCAATGAACGGACTAAGACAAGGCAATTAGCGAGTGTTGAGAATAAACTGTTTTAACATTGAATGAAAAGCTGTGAAAAAAGCAGCTGTAGCTGCATCTCCCATTGCACTGACAGAAAGAATAGCAGTTCATATAATGAGTTCAGTTGTGTTCAGAACACACTGTTTATTGTTGTATAACCTTACTCATTCAGAATTAATTAGAACGACTATCTTCAAAAGATTGAATAGCATTAAATATTATTTTTTATATTCCTTTTATCTCAGTCTCCGTGTTTAATTACTTGGAACAATTTGCTGGTGCTCTCTGTCAGTATTTTAAAGCGTAGTTTTCAAGCATGTACATCATTCTTGGTCCAAAAGTTCCTCCTGAAATACAACACAAGAATGGCTACCATCAGAGATCCCCATCTAGCTCATTTGGATTATTTTATTTAACCTGACAGGTCAGTAAGAACATATTTCTATTTAAAATACAGACCAATATAGAGAGAAAGTGAGTTATGATGCATCTCTTCAGCCTTCGCTCAATGCACATTCATCTTTGCTGAAGGGCTACAGTGAAATGTAATGAGGCTGAAAAGGTGCTACCAAGAACTCTGAAACCCATCAATGAAGGCTTTTCAGCACAACAGCATTCTCTTCCCACAAGTAATTTACTCAGATTCACTGACAAAATTAAATTGCTTTAATGTTTCAGAATAATATGTGTTTTAGCTGGTCTTAAAGTTGTTCTTTCAGTGTGAACCAGCTGTACATCAGACCTTAAGAGAAACTATTACTGAACTGTTGTCTTCATGTTCTCTGTAAGAGTCAGCACACAGGACAAAAATAAAGGAGTAACAGCAGCGCAGAATTTTGTTAATTAATTTAATAGCTTTTAGGTCCTGTATAAGGTGAAATAAGCCGCCTTATTTGTGTGTGAAGTGTGAAGACACTTTGACCCAGAGCACCACTAGTAACCTTGAGATGGGCTTTCTATCAATCCAGCACGTTTGGCTAGTCATTCCACCTCAATCGATGACACAGCTCAGCAGCTCTCAGTCAGGTAATTATCTCCCTCTTTTATCTGACAGGGATGGTCTCCTAGATGGAGAGAGAAGCCTGTGATTTATGTGTACTGTCCCTTTCCTTCTTCTGTACTCTCCTTATCTCCTCCTTCTGCTCCTATTTATCTTTCTTTCTGTCCTCACCACCTTCTCCTTTCTTACTGTGTTCTCTTAATCTCTCATTATCTACTTATTTTCCCTATTTAATTTCTCTCCTGTCCAGCCTTTTTTTTCAAATTTAAATATTCTAAATTGCTTTATTGTCATGACCAATGAATAACAGGTTTGCCAAAATAACAATTATTTAAAAATGTTCAAACATTTAGGAAAAATATTTTTATTAATTTTATCTAATAGCAAAGCATTTTCTGCTATGTAGCAAAAAGTGCCTTGCTGTTTCACTTTGTAGTAGGAGCATAACCTTTGCACTCTGAATATCCAGGCTGTCTATTACATAATTTCAGGTCAATGAGCTTGTCCTCTCTAGCTATCCGGGTCTGCCTGTGTCCAGTTTGCCAGTGAGCTGTGCTCACTGAGCCTGTCCTCTCTATGTATCCTGGTCTGCCTGTGATAAACCAGTTTCTATAGCCCCGCGGTGGCAATTGAGCATATCCTTTCTGGGTATCCAAGTCTGTCTGTGTCCAATTTCTATGGCCAGGCTGTGGTAGCTAGCCTATCCTCTCTGGGTGTCCAGGTCTGTCTGTGTCCAATTTCTATGGCCAGGCTGTGGTCACTGAGCCTTTCCTCTCTGGGTATCCAGGTCTGTGTGTGTCTAGTTTCTATGGCCAGGCTGTGGTCACTGGGCCTGTCCTCTCTGGGTATCCAGGTCTGCCTGTGTCCAGTTTCTATGGCCAGGCTGTGGTCACTGGGCCTGTCCTCTCTGGGTATTCAGGTCTGTCTGTGTCCAGTTTCTATGGCCAGGCTGTGGTCACTGAGCCTGTCCTCTCTGGGTATCCAAGTCTGTCTGTGTCCAATTTCTATGGCCAGGCTGTGGTAACTAGCCTGTCCCCTCTGGGTATCCAGGTCTGTCTGTGTCCAATTTCTATGGCCAGG